TAATGGCAAAGACTTCATCATTTGGTTAACACTGAGAATCCGTTTGCTATGGATTTGGTTTGCAATGAAATACAACCAATACTTCACTACCACTAGAGTACATGTGTTTCACAATTAAGTTCATTTATTTTAATAATACAATCATTTATCATTTTAATTAATTTAATTTACTTAATCATTGTCATTTGAAAAACAGCAATTATATTTAAATATGAAATATAAATTATTATATAATTTAAATTTATTGACACATTGACTATTTATAAAGATAAAAATAAAAATCTATATTATAATAGTTTTTATATAATATTATAATATTTTCATAAGTTTCAATCAATAGGTACGTGTAAATTAACAATAACTAAGTAATTTTTTTAATGTGTAATGTGAATAATAAACAATATTTTATATTATGTACTTGCGCATGAATTCGACACCAAATTCTCGGCAAATAATTGTCCAAAAAGTTTATCAATAATGGGATCAAAATATCCGACATTATTGAGGATATCGTGTGTGAGTCGAGCCATGAAATGAAACGCAAAGTACTTCTAAATTATAATTAAATCTAATTATATTATAAATTATAATATTTAATGCTAAACTTCTTTTTTGAATATATTATTTAGAATTGAATTAACATTGTTTGTATTGTATTAGTATATTATGTAAACATTATTAAATGCTCGTGTTAAAATTGTATTTATTTAAATTTACTTAAAATTAGTATACATAATTTTCTGCTTTTTTTGAAACAATAACTTTTTTTTGTCAAATATAACTGTACTACATGAAATATTAATACTAATAATTCTGGTTACACTACATTGGATAAAATATTATACTAGAACAATTAATATCGCTGATTTATTTTAGCAATTACAACCACTTGAACAATTTGGAGTACCAGTGACTTATAGGTGCTGCGGTTGAATAGACGTGAGTACCGGTACCACCATGGGTAACAGTTCCCGGTCTATATGTCGAGTAAATATGGGTTCGCCCAGTCGTGTCAGGAGTGCCTGAATAGTCGTGTGTCCGTCCGGTGTGGTCAGGGGTTCCCGAGTAGTCGTGAGTACGTCCAGTAGTGTCAGGGGTTCCCGAGTAGTCGTGGGTACGTCCGCTATAGTCAGGAGTTCCCGAGTAGTCATGAGTACGTCCAGTCGTATCGGGAGTTCCCGAATAGTCGTGAGTACGTCCGGTAGTGTCTGGAGTACCGGAGTAGTCGTGAGTACGCCCTGTGATGTCAGAAGTTCCGGTGTAGTCATGAGTCCTACCAGTCGTGTCAGGAGTACCCGAGTAGTCGTGCGTAGGTCTGGAGTAGTCTTGAGTACCGGTGACTCCATGAGTGCCACTCGAGTAGTCATCAGTACCGGTAAACCCCATGGGTTTGGAGTACACCAGCGATAGACTCATTAAAAGGGCAAACACTGCGAAAACTAATGTAAAAATAATTATTATAAAAATTTTACTTATAAAGCATTAGTTTTAAGTTACCTTTCATTTTCAGTAAACTGGTCTTGGTAAGTTTATAAAGTATAATGTGTTTCCGAGTACTCGGTGTTGAATGACTGGAATAGTGATTGAACTCCGCTTTTATAGCCATGTATTGACTGATAAGCGAAGTGTGGGTTATATTAACACAATTAACACCGTATGCACTGATTTTGATGATTGGGATGATCCTGATAATTGTTGTATAATAGTGTGAGTCATTAAATTGATGATTCACCAGTGTAACTTATAGTGCATTTATTATATAATATTAATGAAGCATTTATTTTTAATTATCAGTTAATTGATGTATACTTAATAATTAATACCTGATAATCTCTGTAAAAAACACTTATAAAGTACCCTGATTGTATAGTCTATTGTTTGATAAGTTCATTATAACAAATAAAAAGTTTAATTTAAAAATAAATAGTGCATGATTTAAATTTTTAAACAAAAATTAATGCTATTTTAAATTATTAGTTAAATTTGTCTGAAACTCTAATGAGTATGATACTGTACCATGTTCAAGCAAACATAACTTTTATATAAATAATTTGTATTGTTAAATGTTCCGAAATTTACGGCTAAAATAATTTATAAAAATAATTTTTAATTTTATAGATTTTATATTATAAATTATAAATTTTATAATCAATATCCAAAATTACCTAAATAATTTTTTTTAATTTATAAATATTATTATGGCTAAACATTTTAATTTTGAGCTAATGACATTGAAAATTGATTTGAATTATGCAGGGCATTTTTGGTGTTTATTATCTACTTTCTTTTGTTAATAAACATTTTATGATTAAATGTGCTTGTTAATATCGCATAGGATTAACATGAGGCATCGATTTTCTCACTAAAAGTGTGAATCATTTTTTATTTTGTTATCAAAAAAAGCTAATAATAATTATAGATAACAAAATAAAAATAATATTATTAGTCATTTAATATTAAAATCCACTTAATATTTATGTCTTTATAATTCATATTTGGTATGATTTAAACAATATATAAAACCTTAAATTAATTGAATATTTTATTAATTTAATTTAATATATAAAACTTGTGTAAGAACATTTTAATCAATATTATCTTGAATTATTAATATTTTATGGTTATAATGTAGAATTTTTATTGAATTATGTTTTTAATGGATTGTCAAGAATAGCATTAAAAATTTATTTGTTAACAAATATTGTTTATTATCGTATTAATAAACAAACTATTGTATCACCTGATACATTTGTATTTAAAATATTACTACTAATATAATATACTATTACTTTGAAGTAAATGTCAATAAGATCTCTAAAAATAATTTTTCTGCTAAAACTTATTAGTTAACTAAAACTTAACATGGCACTAGTTTCAAGAATATTGAATATTATGTATTATATATTATATTATATATATTATTATAGTACATATTCTATAGAATTAATGAGTATTTTAAATGGTTATATTAAATACTTGAATTCACTACTAGCTAAACATTTAC